TTTTTCCCCTCTTCCTCTATCAAGTGATGCCTTCAGATGAATATATATCTTCTGCTTATAAGACTATCAAACAGGAGAGTCCTTTAGAATGTTAAGTCCCAGGTGAGCACAGATCTTGTCTGTCTTGCTAACCACTGTGTCCCCCCGCATCTAGAAGAGGGTCTGGCACATGTTAGACACTCAATGAATATTTGCTGAGATTAATAAATCAATAAATACATAACCCTAATAAAGCAAAGCAATCTACTAGGAAATGACAGATACACTTTTAATGCTAAGAGTAAAAGCATGCTTAAACTAATCTAAAAGATATGATATGTGAGAGATTTTAAAAAGTTGGATTTTTAAAGTTTCATTTTAATGTATGTAAAACAGATTAAAATCTAAGTATTTGTAGCTTTTAAATTATTCTGCTCTTGGTCAAAATCCAAACATTACAGAAGAGTGTACCAACACAGTTCTAGTCCATTTCCCAGTGATTTCTGTCAACTTGTGAATACATTCAAGCCTTTAAAGACAGGCTTTTAAAAATATTTGGTCCAGATCTTATCATTGCTAACCGAGGGAGGGTTCACACAATCACTTTATTTCACTGCCATTACTAGAAGTTTTCCCTATTTCATTTTTAAAAATTGCTTAACTATAATCCATAAATAGTTTAGCCACTGCCCCACTGATAGATATGTAAGTTTATTCCAATTTTGTTTTGTTGTTTTCAAAACAATAAGGAAATTTACAGCCTGAGTGTACACCCCTCAGAAGATGTTCAAGGGTTCCTCTTGGACAGATTCCATCATGTGGAATTTCTACATCATAAGATTTGCATTTATAAATTATGATAAATATTACCAAACTGTATTCCAGAATGACTGTACCAAGTTACTAATCTCAAGTGCAGTGTATAAAGACCGGTTTCTCCTGTTCTCTTCTTTTAAACAGTTGCATAGTTTTTCCATTATATATGTACAACTTAGTATATGTAATGAGTGTTTTAATATTTGTTTCTAAGTAATCTAATGACATACATTTAGATTGTTCNTAACAAAAGAAATACACAGTACAGAAAAAACACATAATTTTGTCATGATAGGGTTTAGATTTAAAAATGATAATGAGATAGTTACTTGAAATTAGAGAAATTTGGGGGGAAAGGTATACTTTAAAAAATATTTGATATTGCTTAAACTTATTTGACCTGTTCCTCCTATTACAGTAGAGATTTTTTTATTAGGTTTGTTTTAGCAAATTTAATATAGTGGACAAAACAAGAGGTTTAGAATAAGAAGTCATTTGGGTTATGTATAATATAAAACTTTCTGGATGGTAAAGATTATCGAATACATGAAGAAAAGAACCTAATTCTTATGCCCTAAAACATTTGCCCATAGTATAAAATAACCAAATTACGACAACATATTGCCTACAGATTACAAAACAATGAAGGAATTCAAAAGAAAGCCAAATAAATTCCATTTCACAATATACACACATCATATTTATATAAAAGTTGACATATTCTTCCCCAAAGCCCCCCAACAAAAGTAAAAATAAAAAGGCAAATCCAAACAAAAATTCTCTATTAAATTATACTTCCATAATCCACTGATACTCTAAATGACTAAAAAACTGGAAGATTAAAATTTTGAGCTATCCTAAGAGTTAGTCTAAAAAGAATGTATGATATTTAGCAAACTGCTCATGTAAAAAAATTGAACTATACTAAGACTCCCTTCAGTTCTAATATTCTGATATTATATGAACAGAAATAGGATTTCTCCTTACCCTTTCCCTCCCTATATTTTT